AGGAATTGATTAAAGGGCTGAGCCAAACCTCTCTTTCAATAAGAAATTTGGGCTGCCTCCTCAGGAGGTGGAAATCTCAGAGGTAGCAGAGACCCTATGAGAGACAGTTCAGAGCAGGAGCTGGAGCTGGCTGTTGAGAGGTGAGGGACAAGGGTGAGCAGCTCAGCGGTTACTGTTTGCCACTTCGAAGGGAATAGTGTTGTGTTGAGAAAATCTTTTCTGCCTGACCCAAAACTATAAGAAAAAAAAAAACAAAAAACCCAACAGTGTCGAGAGACCTCTGTGAGCATCTTTCTGGCACACTACCAGCCATACCCTCCCCACACATACTAGAGGCAGCTGTCAACCTCAAAGAGCTGTGCCTGGTTTCTTGGACAACAAGTTCTTTGTGCTCACACCTCCAGGTTTGGCTGCTGACAGGATGAGCAGGAGCGGGTGCTGGGGAGAAGCCTCAGGACGACAGTGATTCTGACTGGTGAACCCCAGACAGCAATTACCTGATGTGCTGGTGTCTGGCACTGCCTGTCTTTCTTCCCCTGAGACTGACACTCTGTCACTTTCTCCCATCTGGAAGGTCTCCTTCTGCACAGGCTGCATGAAGTCTCAGGCTCCACCTCTTTAGAAAGAACATGGGACAGTTTCATTAGAAGTAACTGTCCCTCATCAGGAACACGATACCATGTCCATGGCACTTGGCAAGCGGCAGGGAGGAGCCCACTGTCCCCCAAAACAGGAGGAAAAGCACAGCCCAGTTTTTTGTGAGGCAACTAGAAATGTAGAACCAAACCACCCAAGACTGAATTCACCAAATGAACCCAAATGAACTAGGAAGCCCTTCAAGTAAGTTGTCTGACCTCACGCTGGGTGTCCAGCTCCAACCCACCCATGACTCTGAGGTCTGGAAAGAGCAGCCAAGATTTCCTGTCATGGCAACTCTGCCTTGACGCTGGGCATCTGCAATTATTCTGAATGTGGGGGAGCAAACTAAATAATAGAACATAAAGAGTCAGTTGTGGTGTTCAGGGCTACCTCATGTTGTAAGGGAATGTTTTTGCAATCTCCTTCTGTTACTTGAAAGATGGTAGAACATTGTTTAATTTGGGCATACTACTTTTGAACAGGAGCTTGTTGGACCACCCCACAAAACCTTTTTGATGGCTTTAAAAGGTCCCCTTAAAACTGTTGATTGTTGATGGACAGTTCTTTCTGCTTCCCAGAGGGCAGGATTGACTACAAACCAACCCATTTCCCAAGTGGAATACTGTTTTTCTGTATCCTTAAAGCTTTGAGAGTAAAATCCAATGGTTGGGTAGAACTACTATGTCCTTACTGCCATAAATGTTTGGACAGTTCTGAACTGGCAAATCCCCACTCAGTTTGCATGGAATCAGAAGGTTGTATAGGTGCCATGGCCCGCGGGGAAAGGGAATGGGGACGCAGCACTGCAAATCAGGTTCAGGACACAGCTGAGGTCTGGGAAGCAATGCCAACTTTATTAGAACAAGCAGGGACTTATATAGGGTTGGAACAGGGGCTGGACTCGGGATAGGGGAGGAGCAAAGGATTGACAGCTCAGGGACTCTGGGGATAGGGCAACAGGGTAAAGATGGGCGGAGTCTGGGTGTCACTAGGAGAATGGGCCAATAGGAGCTACCTCTGCACTGCACCAAATAACAGCCAATCACAGGCAGAGGAGCAGGAAAACAGGGGAGAACAACAGGTTTTGGCGGGAAAACTGTGAGGGAAGAAGGAGACAATATGGAGGATATGATTTTTAAAACAACAAGCTGGGGTACATACAACACTATAACAGTACAACAAAAACTGGGGAAAACCGGGGAAAAACTGTCAGTCCAACGGTTGTCACATCCAGTAATTAAACGTCTTTTCCAGTGACTTACTGTCCATTCTGGTATAGATTAGTCATTTCAAAGGTTATAGATCTGTCTCCATGCCTGGTATTTCTGCCAGTCTTTTTCCTCTTTCCCAACATATAGGGTCTTGTGATTGATGTGTGTTAGTCTCAAAAATTAGGAATTATAGGGCCTCATCATGAAGGGGGTCCAATCCCACTCTGCTCCCTTCCACAGCAGATTGCACAAGGGCCTTGCAACTATTGAAAAATTGGGAACATGCTTCCTCCAAAAGACCAACAGGCTCAAAGCCTGTTGCATGACACGGTTCGACAAGGAAAGAAAAACATTTCCTCATGCCGAAGTGGATGTGGAAAGAAGACTCAACAACCCATGGGTTCAAGCAGAGTAGTATAGCTTGGGGCTATCTCCCTTTATTGGAGATGGTTAGCTCTATTTATAGGGTAAGGTGGGAAGGTTCTGGAAAACAGGAGGAGCAGTGGACTGACAGGGGTGACAGCCAACCAGGGAAGGAAGGAGGGAACAAGGGATCAGCAGGGGACAATGAGGGAAACATCTGCGATGCAGCAAACTTGAACCAATAGGAAAAAAGGGTTTTATTCTGAGGGGAAAAATATGATGAAATTCGATAAAAACTGGGATACAACAAATAGGGAACATGCATTGACAATTCTAAATAATAACAGTCTCTGTTTGAATTGTATCGTGTTATATATCTTCAAATCATATCTTCATCTGTTGTTTCAGCCATAATTTCCTGCAGTCGCCTTCCATTCAATAAACTTTTCCTCCTCGCATTCCGTGCCGTCCGCATCCTCAGGGTATGGGGTTGTAAAGGCAAGAAGGCCCTTTATTAACGTGGCTCCCACCTTATATAGAGCAAGAGCAGAACTTTCTGGAACAAGGGGTGGAACTGAGTGGAGATATGCAAATGGAAACCATACAAGGAAAGATAGGGAAGAAACATATCTCTACAAGGAAAACATGAGAGGGAACTAGCCTTTTAAGAAGAATCTGCACTACAGCATTGAACAACCAATGAGAAAACAGAAACACAAGGGAATAATCAACTAGGGAAATTTTCATAAAACCATGAGAGTACAACATAGGGAAGAACATAATAAACACTGAATGCTAAGCAACAGTCCATAGTGTTTGTCACACAAAGGCTTCTTCTTCCCATGAATCTTGCAGGTTCTGTCTCCATCTTCTGTATCTTTCTTTGTTCCCATCTCCCACAGTTGCACATCTTCTTCGCTCTCAGGCATACTCTAGGGAGGTGAGGGTGTCTGGGGAATACAGACCACTGCCTCCACTCCCTCATATCCCCAAAAACTTTACCTCTTGCAAAGGGTGTTGTACTTTCTCAGGAGGGATCTGTAAGTCCAGGGGTTCTAGGTGTTCAGTAATGTTCTTTTGGATTATCTGTACAGGTGCAATTTCATCTCCTGCTTCCAAAATATCGTCGTTATACTGATATAGTCTTACCTCAGGTGTGGGAGGAATGAATGACAGTTCTTGTTCCAGTGGATGTGTACTATAGTGGGTGAGTGTTTAAACCCTTGTGGGAGCAGGTAAAAATGTATTGCTGACCTTCCCATGCAGAAGCAAAACGCTCCTAATCTTGATCTTGCAGGGGAACCATAAAAAGAATGTCTTTAACATCAGTAATGACCATAATTTTGTGAGTTTGTTCTTGTATGGTGGCTATTAGTTTGGCTATATTTGGGACTGCTGTAGTGAGGGACCCTGTGTTTGCATTAAAACCTCAGTGGTACACAGCTGATCTTCAACTGGCCCACAGGAGTGTTATAGGGGGAAGGGGTTGTGATCACTATTCCTCTTTGGTTTAGATTCTCAACAACTGTGGTGATTCCTTCTCTGGCTCCCAAGGGTGAGGGGTAAAGTTTGTTGTTGGTTACTGGGGAGGGAGGAAGAGCAGGGGCGGTATCTAGCAGGTGCAAATGCTGGGTTTCCTTCCTGAAAGCCCCTGCAGTCCAAGACCTTCCCTTTAGGAGGTCCAGCCCCAAAAGATTTCTAGGAAATTTTCCCAAAATCATAAGGGCTTTGATCGCTTTCTACTCCCCTGGCAACCAGCATCTTACCCTTGTTGTCATTTGGGGTTGAGTGTATCCAAAAGCATCCACAACAAATATACCTTTGCATGAGGGAATGTTTCCACACCAAGAGGCATCTCTTCAACCTTGAGGGCAGATATTTGACCTCCAGTGTCTTTCTAAAAGGTTATGGGCACTTTGAAGGACACTTATTCGTAAGTGTCCTTTGGAATTTTTGTTAAGCTATCTGATAGAAAGCCACCTTCCATCCCCCAGCTTACCTACTGGGGATGAATGAAAGTGTTTCCCACCACCTCCCCCTTTTGTGGTTCTTCTAGGGGAGGGGCTGTAGCAGGGACAACAGCTTTTATTGATCCCTCTTTTGCCAACCATGCTTTAACTAGTACCTCCAATTTTTCAGCGGGTTGGCTGTCCATCAGGATTTTTGGGATTCTTTTTTGCAAACCCAAAAGCCATTTCTCTTTCTCCTGTGTTCTTCATTTGTGTGAACATGTCCTCCTTGCCCAGGGGAGAACATTAGTTTTCTGAGTTTTATAGGGAGCATTGATGTTCTGCATTCTGTGTGCCAAATTAATTTGGGATAAGTATTGTTAGGGAGTATTTGACCGTATTTTCTTCCGTAATTAATTAATTCTTGTGCCACCTCTCCCCACTTCCAAATTTTATGTTCCCTATGGCTACAGCTGGGGGTTACAGCCCTTTCCAAGGTGGCTCTTTCCCCACTTCTGAAGCTTGCTGTTTTTCCTTTTAACTGAATGCACATGTGTCTCAACTTGCGTTCGCAGTTTAAACAAAGGCAAAGCTTTTTGCATTATGTCAGTTTAAGAAGCAATGGCGAATCGTACATTGCCTTTCACCAGTTCTTTACAGGCCCCAGCTGGAAAACCAGGCTGATACTGGGACAAAAGTGTTCTGCCCTGGAGTGCAGGTCCCTTCCAGCTCCTCTCACAGATCAAGCCCTGCTTCCAGTTTTGTGCATTCAATTACAACACAAACAGACAAAAGAGGTGAGAACTCACTGTCTTTTAACAATATATTTGTTTATATATTATCCGTTAAACAAAACACTATCTTCTGAAGTAAAGTACCCCTGCTGGTACTGGTAGCAGGGACACCAGGATGGTGTGGGCTGGAGTGAGTCCAGGGAAACCCAGTTCTCCCGTGAAGAGGCCCTGTCAGCCAGAGAGCAGCTGGGACAAGCGGGCAGAGGTGCGGGGTCTGTGCCCATGTTCCTGTACAGCTGGGCGAGCTCTGCTGCAAAGATCCCTGGTGACAGGCGGCAGCTGTTGTTGAACTTTGTGTTTGCTTGGTCTCTCTCGCCCCTTCCTGCTCCATCTCCTGACTCTGCTTTGCTTTTATCTCTACATGGAGATAGAGATTGAGATAAAGAAAGAGACTCTTCCCAGAAAGAATCTCTATGGGCTTGTCCTTGTGCTGCTCTGTCTCCCTGGGTCCTTCTGTACGAGAGCTTTCAGAGGAGTCTACTCATGGATATGAATTAAGAGCCCAGTTAAAGGACCATACCACAGAGATTTTGGCAAAGTGCTCCCAGGAGCTGCCTTGGCACTCCAGCACTGTGCAAACACTCCATTGCCAATGGTAGCAATAAATAACTCTTGTGAAAAGCCAACTCACGTGTCTCTCCTCAGCCATGACGTGACTATGGCACAGGCCATTATGGTAAGCAGGAGCACAGCTGAGGCTGCTGCAGTTCCTAAGATATAGTTCTTGCTAAGCCCCTGATAGTCAGCAGTTTCGGCTTTTTCCAGTGTAGCTGACCCTGGCAGGAGAAAGGACAATGCAAGAGACAATGTTTGTGCTCTGCACTATAGATAATCTCAGATTCAGGGCACTTCAGATGCACAAGGGATTTTGTTTTCAGAGACTAGTGCCTCTGGCTCTGGTGTCGTAGGACCAGGGGACAAGAAGGATCCTTTAAGGTTCTCCTGGAGAAGAGCCTGCACCAGCACTGCCCAGTTTGTTCCTTCAGGCTGCAGGCCAGGGCTGTGTGCTGGGGACCTGCAGTTCATCCTTGGAGAGTGCTGCAGGGATACACCAGAAATACTCCTCTTTTCAAACACCAGCATCTCCTGAGCACTCACTTAAAGGACGTTTCTGGAGCTCAACAGGTGTCCTGGTGCCTTGTATTGCCTCTCCTTCTTCCCCTGAGACTGGCACTCTGTCTCTTTCTCCCATCTGGAAGGTCTCCTTCTGCACAGCCTTAGGTTCCATCTCTTTAGAAAGAACATGGGACAGTTTCATTAGAAGTAACTGTCCCTCATCAGGAACACGATACCATGTCCATGGCACTTGGCAAGCGGCAGGGAGGAGCCCACTGTCCCCCAAAACAGGAGGAAAAGCACAGCCAAATTTTTTGTGAGGCAACTAGAAATGTAGAGCCAAACCACCCAAGACTGAATTCACCAAATGAGCCATTCTAGGAAACCCTTCAAGTAAGTTGTCTGACCTCACGCTGGGTGTCCAGCTCCAACCCACCCCTGACCCTGAGATCTGGAAAGAGCAGCCAAGATTTCCTGGGACATCACTTCTGCCTTGATGCTGGGCTGTGCATGAGCCAAACACAAACTCAGCACAGCCCTGTTCCTAACACCTGGATATCAGCATCTGCACAGAGCAGCTCTGGCCAATAATGGTACAAGTGCAGCAGCAGTTGCCCCTGGCTCTCAGCTGGAAGCCCGTCTAGGAGCAGGAGCTCTGCTGTCTCTGTGGCTCAGCAGCCCACACAAGGTGTGAAATGGAGTGTCCTTGCAGTGAGGCTCTGACTGATCCCTTCTTGCTGCATAGGCTACAGCAGATCCCCAGAGTAAGCGAAAAGTTCAGCATCCCAAGTCCTACGGTTAAGAGAGTGGGATATACTAACCAGATGCAGCTTTCTCCAAGGCTCTTAGGAGCTCCTTTGGAACTACAGGTATCTTCTGGGAATCCTTCACTATTTGAGATTTTAGAAGGACGTTAACATATGAAGATACATTTCCCATGAACAATATGCTAAAAAAGGGGTCTTTATTCTGTGAAATAGCAGAGCCTGACTACTCACCCTTGAGATACCAGCTTGGAATCAACATGGAATCTGGCTCAGGAGCTGGAAGATGCCTTCCTTTGGCCACATCTACAACCAAACACCCACAAGAAGTTACCATCACACCTCAAGGGCAGAAAGTGTAAGGGGGTCAGGGAATGACAGGCCACACAGACAGGTCTGTGTTCTCACAGCTGCGGGGGTGCCTGGCTGCCCTTGGGACTTTGAGCTGGCAGCTCTGAAAGGAAGCAAAAGCCATGATGTGCCCACGTGACCTGCCTGTGGCTCAGTCCTGGAGCTCAGCCACGAGGTTGGATAACCATTGCAATGTGATGGATGAGTGCCAAGTTTCTGGCCCTGCACTGCCACTCCCCTCCTCCCTGATCACGAGGACCCTGTCTCCCCACAACCCCTGAAGCAGCTGCAGCCCCTCCACACCTCTCCGGGCTGTGTCTGCCCCACTGCCCGCACCGTGCTGCCTTCCTGGCTCACCCAGTCCTCGCCCTGGCCACACTGCCACCAGCCCAGGGTGGGTGCTGGCCCCCGCCTGCCTACCTGCTCCCTGCCCTTGCATTGGAGCAGACTGGGCATCCTGGGCTTGCAGGGCCACCAGAAAGAGGAGGAGGCAGCGGGTGAGGACCATGACCCCCAGTGCTCGCAACATGCTGCTGCTGCTGCTGCCTCAGAGGTGTCCAGAGCTGGCACTGAACAGCAGATCACAGTGGGGCTCTGTGACCTCACATCAAATAGGGCTCTCTGTCCTCACATCCCCACTGGCCCCTTCCCTCTACTAGGGCTCTCCAAAAAAGTCCCTGAATCTGCCCGCTGTTGAATTTCCTCGTTCTGCATTGGTGTGGAAGGAGCAGAAGTGGAGAAGGGTGGATCTGTTTTGGGAGACAGCACTGTGCATGGGAGTGCAGAGGCACTTGGGTCTTGCTTACAGAAATTGCTATCATAAGCCTCGCTATGAAGGCTGCATAAAAGAGCTAAGTGCAAGTGCCTTTCCTTGGTCCTCTTTTTGTCTCCCAGCATTCCGGTGAGAAACTTGCTTTTCCCACTAGTTTTGCTCCAGGTTCATGACGTTTGAAGACAGCACTTCTTCCCTCTGCTACCCTCCCTCTAACATCGGCATGCTGCCCTCAGGCTTATCCTAAGTGGGCATGGCTTATTCCCTTCCCGGTTCCAATCTCATTTAAAGCTCTCTCATTGAGCCCTGCCAACTCCTAATCAAAGATCCTTTACCCCTTTGAGACAGTGGTACTTCATCTGCTGCCACCAGGCCTGGTGTCCTCTAAATGACCCGTTGTCCAACCCACCCCGTTCTGCTGGTAACATCAGGCTTGGAGCCCGGTAGGATTTTCCTCCCTCATCATTCTCTGCAATTGGCAGGATAGCAGAAAACACTGCATGTGCCTCAGATCCCTCAACAAGTCATCCAGAGGCCCTGAAATCTCTCTTACTTGTCCTCAGGCATCATGAGGTACTGATAAAGGGCACATACAAAGGTGTAGGTTCCAACAGCTAAAAATTAACACAGATGACCTTCTTGCTGAGCAGCTCTTGAGGGAAAGAAATATTCATGACTTGTGTGTGCAGGGCCCCCAAGGCACAGAAAGCTCTTGGAAGGCCTTCTAGAGCACCTTTGGTAAAATTGCTCAGGAAGCACCTATTAAACCCCAAGTGTTCATAACCTCAAGCATACAGGCAATGACAGCTCTCCTCTGGGATGTTCCCAAGGCTCATAACCAGCATCCAGCTGAGAAGCTCAGTGAACATGGCCAATGCCATCCTCTGGAATCAAGCACAGATCAGAGAAATCACTTCACACTCAGAGAAAGGAGGAAATGAGAAAAAACTGATTGTCCACGCTTCCATGGATAACAGGCTGTGAAAGGCCGCACCAGCATCAACTGTGCATGTTTCTCTGGGCCAGGGACCAGCAGTTCATCCAAGGGGAGCAGGGCTGCTGGGCTAGAGCTGAATCTCTTGTTTTTCCGGGTGGGTGTCTCCTGAGCTTGCCCCTCTGGGATGTCCCAGTGCCACAGTGACTCTAGTGCTGAGTTTCTGGCCCTGCACTGCCACTCTCCACCTCCTTGATCATGAGGACCCTCTCTCCCCACAAACCCTGAAGCAGCTGCAGCCCCTCCACACCTCTCCGGGCTGTGTCTGCCCCACTGCCCGGGCTACCGGTGCTGCTTCTGCTGGCTCACCTGGTCCTTGCACTGGCCCGCACTACAGCCCAGGGTGGGTGGTGCCGCCGCCTGCCTTACCTGCTCCCTGCCCTTGCATTGGAGCAGACTGGGCATCCTGGGCTTGCAGGGCCACCAGAAAGAGGGGGAGGCAGCGGGTGAGGACCACGACCCCCAGTGCTGACAACATTCAGGCAAGAACTCACTGCTTTTATGAAAAAAAAGAAAAATTTTTCATTTAAAAAATCATCATCTTCTGGTGTAAAGTATCCCTGTTAGTAAAGGGACACCAGGACGGTGTGGGCTGGAGTGAGTCCAGGGAAACCCAGTTCTCCTGTGAAGAGGCCCTGTCAGCCAGAGAGCAGCTGGGACAAGCGGGCAGAGGTGCGGGGTCTGTGCCCATGTTCCTGTACAGCTGGGCGAGCTCTGCCGCAAAGATCCCTGGTGACAGGCGGCAGCTGTTGTTGAACTTTGTGTTTGCTTGGTCTCTCTCGCCCCTTCCTGCTCCTTATCTGATTCTGCTTTACCTTTATCTTTAGACTGAGCTTTGCATTCCCAGAAAGTCTTTATGGGCTTGTCATTGTGCTGCTCGGTCTTCCTGGGTCCTTCTCTACAAAGAGATTTCAAAGAAGTCTACTCATGAATTAAGAGCCCAGTTAAAGGACCATAGCACAGAGGTTTCAGCACAGTGCTCCCAGGAGCTGCCTTGGCACTCCAGCACTGTGCAAACACTCCATTGCCAATGCTAAATAACTGGAGAAAAAACTCTTCTTCTCAGCTGTGACATGACTATGCAGCCAATAAGTATTCCAAGCAGGGCACAGGCGAGACTGCTGCAGTTTGTAGGATATAGTTCTTACTCAGTTCCCAGTGGCCAGCAGTCTCAACCTTTCCTCCAGCAGTGGTCCCTTGCAGGAGCAGAGAGTTACACACTTTTCTGTGCTTGACTCTATGGGTAATCTCAGATTCAGGGTGCTTCAGATGCACAAGGGATTTTGTTTTCAGAGACTAGTGCCTCTGGCTTTGTGTCTTAGGAGCAGGGGACAAGAAGGATCCCTTAAGGTTCTCCTGGAGAAGAGCCTGTGTGCCAGTGAGCAGCTGCACCAGCACTGCCCAGTCTGTTCCTTCAGGCTGCAGGCCAGGGCTGTGTGCTGGGGACCTGCAGTTCATGGAGTCTCATTCATGGAGAGCACTGGAGGGATACAGCACAAATGCTCTTCTTTTTCCAAGTCAAGTGCCAAGCACTCACAACCCTGTAGGTGAAGAGGTATTCAGCCTAAGGCCTGTAGTCTGTCCTAGAGTCCCTGCAGTCTTTTGGCACACTGGACTTCAGTGAGGCACAGGAGCCCTCTGGCTGAGAGGAGTGATATGTCCCTACTGTGCCACATTTGCAAGGCCACTTGTCCAAATCTGGGAGATGCTGGTCCAAGAGGTGATCATGAACTGGGAAGTTGCAAAATCCCTTTCAGTAGAAGGGACCATCAGAGTGTGGATTTCTGGAGCCCTTGCAGTACTTCAGAAGTGTATGAACCCAACAGTGGAGGTGGTTTAAAATGAGCACGTCCATAGATCTCCACTAACTGCAATACTTACAGTGATAATTATGCTGCAAGGTGTGATGTGTACCTCAACAACATCTCAGTTCATCCACACTCAATGTGCCCTTCTCCTTGTTTCTTCCCTCTATGGGAGTTGTGTGTCAAGATAATTTTCCCCCATCCTAGAAAACTGTTTCTGCCATATCACTTACAGTCACTTCAACTAGTCATGAAACACAGAATCATAGAATTGTCAAATTTGTAAAAGATCTCTAAGTTCATAAAGTCCAGCCGTGAGCCTAGCACTACCACCTTTTTCACCACAAAACCACGTCCTCAAGTGCCATATCTACAGACTTTTTGAATGCTTCCAGGGACAGTGACACCACCATTTCCCTAGGCAGCCTGTTCCAATGCTTGATAACCCTCATTGTGAAGAAATTTTTTTTAATAACCAGTCTAAAACTCACCTGGTGCAAGAGATCATTTCCTTTTGTCCTGTCACTTGTTACCTGGAAGAAGAGGCCAATTCCCACTTCACTACAATGTCTTTTCAGGTAGCTGTAGAGATGAATAAGGTCTACCCTCAGCCTGCTTTCCTCCAGGTTAACAACCCCAGCTCCCTCAGCTGCTCCTTATCAGATTTGTGCTCCAGACCCTTCACCAGCTACTTTGCCCTTCTCTGAACACGCTCCAGCATCTCCATGTCTGTCTTGTAGTGAGGGGCCCAAGACACAGGATTCAAAGTGTGGCCCCACTAGTTCATGCTGGTGACACAGTGATATTTTGTTTGTTGCTCAGTAGTGCTCATCCTAAGTCAAAAGGACTTTTCAGTCTCCCGTGCTCCGCCAGAGAGCAGGTGCACAAGAGGCTGGGGGGAGCATGGCCAAGAGAGCTGATCTGAACTGGCCAAAAGAATATTCCATACCGAAGACCAACGTGTCCAGTATAGAAACTGGAGGAGTTACTTGGAAGAAGGCTGATTGAGGTTCGGGGACAGGGTTTGGCATTAGTTAGCAGGTGGTGAAGAGTTGTCAGTTGTTTCTCTTGGATTCCGTTTCTCTCGGATTCTGTTTCTCTCCTTCTCTTTATAATTACAATTATTACTATTAGCATACTTAGTATTATTCAGGTTGGATGGTTGTTTTTTTTTTTCCAAATATTAAGATGTTTTAATCTCAATCCACGAGGTTTATTTTTTACTTTGTGTTCTCTCCACCAGAGGGGTTGCAGTGGGGAGGAGTAAGTGATCATCTGTGTGGCACTTAGTTGCCAGCTGGGCTTAAAACATAACAGTTCTTTTTGTCACCCAATGTTGAATCCGAAAAATCGGTCCAAGAAACTGCTCAGATACTTTTTTATCTTTAAGCAGCAAGGTATTTGTTTATTCAACATTGGGAGCAAGCCAGCTCGCGCTGGACAAACTTGCTCACTGGCTCCTCAGAAAATCAGCACTTTTATACAATTTTCAGATGTGATTAAATGCATATTCAAGTGATTACAACATCTATCAATGCATATTAATAATAGGCGGAGTATAGGCGGAGCTTGGGGCGGTGCTTCTCTTGGCTCCCCATTTCGAGGGGTCGTTCCTATCTTCATCCATAGGGCAGGGGTCTCTAACTCATCTTCCTCAGCTTGACCCTTCTTCTTTTCCATTGTTCTTGACCCGCTCACTGAAGCTTGGAAAAGGCCCTGGCTCCAAACCTATTTCTCCTATTCAAATGTCTACCTGATCCTGCTGTATTTCTAATTTATTACTTCTAAGTCTATTACATGTTCTTGTACTATGCTCTTAAGCTTTGGTCCAGTAAGTAGAACAGAACGAGCACAGGTCGTTTTGGATGTTGGTAACTTGTTAGCAGGCCCAAATTTCTTAGTTAACTCTTTTGGGCCTGGCCTCCTGTTTCATTCCCCCCTTTTTGTTTAGAATTTACAAATTC